CGTGTTGTTTTTCTGCTCTCGAAAGGCTTCCGCCTGTATCTGTAAGGAACAAAATGCTTTTAACTTTCAAACTTTTACCGTCTGCTCTTTGTCTTGGCTTTAAAAGTCAAAACGTGTCCCTTCAGGACAGAGCTGCTGTGTTCAATGGGGGCTCATTGTGTGCAAGTAGCTTGCCTTTTCGCCTTGATAAGTGTGTTAGATGGGAGTTGAAAAGGAAGGCCCTCAGGCCGCGATCCGACTCCAAACAAGTGACATGCAGAGGCAGGATATTTTCTTGTCACTCGCGGTCCCTCTGCTCTGAGCCCGTCCTTGTGGGTTTGTCTGTTGTTCGGCTTTTTTTCTCCCTTCATAATCATTTCTCTCTCTCTATTCCCTGCCTCTTTCGCTGTTGTCATTGGGCTTATCCATATGTTGACAGTTTAGTGGTTTTTCCGTGTGTTGTTGTGATGGATGTGGTTTTCAGATCAAAGGAAGGTGTGACAGGCGAGAAAAAAGAGAAAAACTAATTTCACTCATCAGCGTGAGCCTTCATCTCCATTTTCTCATACACTGAGAACTGAAAAAAAATGCTATTTATATTGCTTTTTGCTACTACATTTTAATAACAGCTTGAGTTGAATTTTGTGTTTTTGGAAACCATAAACAAGGGTTGCTGCAGTTATGAAAATATCAAGGAATTTCAAAATTATCATTTCCAGGCCTGGGAAAAAATCATGGCAATTAAAAAATGAACTAAAGTCATGTCCAAGATATATTAAAGGGGTCATATGATGCTATTTTAAAGCTCATTATTTTGTGTATTTGGTGTAACAGAATATGTTGACATGCTTTAATGTTCAAAAAACACATTATTTTTCAAATACTGTACATTATTGTAGGTCCTCTATGCCCCGCCTCTCTCAAACGTTTTCAACAAAGCCCCCTCCTTGACAAGCGCAGTCTGCTCTGATTGGCCAGCTGACCCAGTGCATTGTGATTGGCCGAACACCACAAGCACGTGTCGGCAATGTAACGCCCCATACCATAATCGCGAGCTTCAGCTTTCAAAGTAAATATCAAGACAGTTAATAATGTCGTTAGTTTTACCATCAGTTCAAGCCCGAAAGGGCAACAGAGTCGCGTGACAGATACAGTGATGATGCAGTACACAAGCCGCGGTTAAGACAGCTGACGTGCTATGATTTCTGACAGGCAGTTCACTCTCCTGTGATGTGACCCTGTTCCCCTCTCACACACACACACACGATGCGTTACTCTGCGCTGCGCAAAACTCCGCATTTGAACAGCCAATAGCAAATACTTTAATAACAAAACATACTTACAGTCGCTGATTCAGAAGAGCCAGATTGTCACAGCAAAGTCGGAATTTACCCTTTTTTATTTTTAGAAATAGCCTTTGT